TGTAAATAAAAGAAAATACTGTTTGCTTCCAGAATATACCTACTTTCATGGGGTTATGACTGATAGTTGGCCAGATAATGAACTAAAATCATAAAAACTTCAAATTTTTAAGATTTTTGCCTTATTTTTGACATGCTAGGAGTTTTTTTTTTTTTTTTTGCTTCTAATTCAATTTTATGCCTGAAATAGTTTTTTTTAATTTTTGCTTTATGATTATGCATGTTATTGATGATTTTTTTTTTCATAACATGAAAAAATGCAAAATTTTCACTATTTTTTTACATTTTATACCTTGAAAAAAATTAATCCTTTACACCAGCCAATTTTACTTTTAAATGAAAGAACATATTGTTTGCTTTCAGAATATACCTACTTTCATGGAATTATGTCTGACATTTCACCAGATAATGGATTATAATATTGAAATATTGAAATTTTTTAAGATTTTGCCTTATTTTTGACCCCCTGGGAATTTTGTTTTGCTTCAAACTCTCAATTTTATGGCTGAAATTGCTTGATTATGATTTAGGCTTTCTGATTTTCCAAAAAAAGGTTAATTTCCCATTATTGTGGAAAATGTTTGTTTAGAACTAGAAAAAATGCAAACTTTTCACTATTTTTTCACATTTTACTGCCTGAAAATTTTTTCGAGTCAATTACACCAACCAATTTTACTTTTAAATGAAAGAACATATTGTTTGCTTTCAGAAAATATTTAGTTTCATGGGGTTCAGATCAAACATTTCCTTGATATTTTATTCAGATGATGACAAAACAGTCATTTTTCAATATTTTACTTTGTTTTACCACTATAAAAGTATGAAAATCCATTTTTTTTTCAGAGAAAATAAGCTGTGACAAAGTGAATTTTGCTATTTTTGTGATGATTTTTACTTGGGATAGAAAATTTTTACCATACCAGACCTGAATTGACTTTATTTAATTTTAGTAGGGCTATAGGAACCCTTAAACAGCTGTAGCCACATTGTCTTCTAATATGGATAAAGTATATCCCACATTGGAAACTCTTTTCCTTCGATAGACTTGTATTCCCATGTCTTTTAGTGCCTTGATTATATATTCTTCAGAAGATTTAATAATAATATTCTGCTTTTTATCTATAATAAAAGCTGAGACAGTTTCTCTACCACTTTTTAAGATTCTAGTTTTTGCTAGGTCAGTGTAACCTTGTCTCACAAACTTCTCCACATTAATGATGCAAACTAGGGGTGTCCCAGGTGGTTGTAGAGGCTCCAGAGATTGACCTTTCTTTTCCTTGTTCTCAGATATGGGTGATTTGGTCTCCTTTAGGCTAGCTGTTGATGTCTTAGCCCCTTCATTTTGGAGTGGGTTATTCATGACATTTTCTTCCTTACCTACTTTCTCTAGGGTGTTGAATAGAGCCTTCATCACCCTATAGATGTCATCATTTGGGACAAGGTAAGACCCCAAGATGTCAGTGCAGATGACTGTAAAACTTGTGGAGAATCCTTTTTCTTTCAAAAAATTTGATTGGGCTAAAAAAGTTGATGAGTGTAGTCTTGAGGTTTTCATAACTTTACCAACAAAAGTCCTGAAAAATTAAAAAAAGACAAGAAAAACAAAAATGGCTGATGAAAAAGGCTATAACAGGGTGCTGGCCCTGGTTTGATATTTAGTTGCATGAGAATGCAAAATGGTTATTTGAGGGGATTAAAAATTAGAAATAAATAATGAAAACTCCCCAAGGGATATCTTAAATAACTAGTAGGAAAATGGGAAAAGAAATAGAGAATTAAAGTTAAATTAAACATATAACATGAAGTTTATGAGGTAACCAGAGAGAGAACTTTGGACAAAAATGGGTGAAAAGTCAATAATTTTGTAATTTCATATAAGTGGTCTTCTTTCTCTGACAAGGGAAATATTTTCTTGGATTTCTGATCTGAGAGGAATAAATTGTTAATGCTCATGAGGTGAATCTCATTAAAAGTTGGGGAGATAGATTTTTTTTTTTTTTTTGCCTGGAGTTATGTGTTTTTTGGACAATGGACCTGTTGAGAAAATACAAGTAATGGTTTGGTTTGGTAATTTTTGTTTAATGGCATATCAACCCTTATAGGTTATTTTATTTGAAAATGTAAATATTTTGTATGCAATTTTATGTTTTCAACTACTGATATTTTGTACATAATTTTATACTTTCAACATATGTTTTATAGATAAATAGTTTGTACATGGTCTATTGTAGGTGTTGTATGTTTTGGTATAGAAAATATTATGTTGATGGTTTCAGTATTTTCAAATAGTTTTCTCATGTTGTTTTCCTTGTAGTAGTTATGTCTTACAAGGGCTAACTACAGTTATTGAAAATGTGTTTTACTGTAAGTTCAGCTTGGCATGTACATGTTGGCTGATCTTCATTCTTCAGCAAGTATGAATGTGTGAGGTATGTAAGCCTATGTGCAATTGAGCCAGTATTATCTCATCTTTTCTTCCTTTTCTAGACATTTGTTTCCATTTTTTTCTGATTGTGCAAAGTTTATTGTTTTTGTGCTTTTACCATTTCTGTTGAATGAAACTTATTTATTGCCCATCTGTTGATCTTATTTATGCATTGTTACAGTTTTCTTTCTATGGTTGTGGATATTTTTGGATTGGTATTTTACAATAAAATCTTCCATGTACAAAGATCCATTTATACCTTGAGTGACTTCCTTTGTAATTTTATTTATTTTAATATTTCTTGGTTTTTTGGATTGGGCAGAATAGGTCCAATGTGGGCCCGAAAAGTTCTATTGAAAATAAAGCTGTGGATGAATTCTGGTAGCCTATCTTTTAGTCCCATATTTTCAGGTAGTTTCATAAGCCTTTTTCATGCCAAAAAATATGATAGGCATGTATTGTTTTCTTGTAAATGCTTCCCTTATAAAGATTTTCAACTGAACCTAGTGGTCCAATGTACTCCCGCTTTTCTAAAATCCACATTGTAAATATCATTAATTTGTTGGGCAAATTTACAATGTGGATTTTAGAAAAGCGGGAGTACATTGGACCACCAGGTTCAGTTCATTCCTTAATTTCCAAGTACCAAACTAACTGATTATTCACTATTCTCTCCAAGGTTTTACATAAACAGCTTAGGAGCAAAATCTGTCTAGAATTTCCTTAGTTTGAATTGGCTTTTCCCGGCTTAGGGATTGGTTGGGCAGGTGTTTGTTGTCATTCTTCTGGGAACTTGCCATTTGTCCAGATATCTTTACATATTTTTAATGACAATTTGAATGACTCTTTTGGGAATTCTAAGAACTCATTGTGGACATCATCCAGTCCTACAGATGAATTATGTGAGCTTTTAATGGAGACTTCTATTTCTGTTTGAGAGAATGGTTTCTTGTAATCTTGCAGGCTCTTCGTTTTGAAGTTTAATTTGTAATTTTTTGCATTTTGTTTTATACTTTGGGATTATTGTTTACAATTCTTTTTAAAGTATTTTTGAGAATGTTTTGCTAATGCATTTGTTATAGCCTTTTTGTACATTATCATGGTATTATTTATTGAGATGTTTTATTGGTATATGTTCATGTTTACCAGCTATTTTTCTAACTATTTACCAAAGTGTTTTTAGTTTTGTAAAAGAATTTTGTTTTCCAATATGTTTTAGCCAACAGTCATTTTTGGCTTTTTTTATTGCTTTAAGCCTTTGCTGGATTTAGTTTGTAGTTGATGAGGTTGGCAATAGTTGATTCTTTGTTGAATTTTCTAAGTGCTGCTTTAGATCATCTAATTACTTTTTTATATCAAACCTGGATTTGTTTTTTCTGTTTGGTGTTGGGTTTTCTTTAGCTAGTAAACAGAAGGGACTTCCACAGGCAGGAAGTGTGAGAAAAGAAACTGTTGGGGTAGAAATGATGGTTGCTTTTAGCTATTTCAACAGAAAACTGGTGGGACCTAGATGCCAAATGGGATTTCTAAGTAGGAATTAATAGAATAAATGTGCTTGTGTATGAACACCTTGTGTGCATGTAATATTTTGGTGAAAGTGACAATATTCAAGAAGATAAGTCAGTGATTGAGATTAGTTAAGTTAAAGTTGAAACAAGTGAAAAACAACATTTTCCCTCCCTTCTGCCATTTTGCCCTTGTTGCTTATTTGTACTTTTAATTGTACAAGAAATATTCACATTTTTGTTCTTTCTTGCCATGAAGTCAGAACACTATAACCACTTGACTATATAACTTTTGCGTGTGAACATTATTCCTACTTCCTGAAAATTTTGCCACTTTGCTTGCATTATGTGTGTATATATATATAATATATATATATATATATATATATATATATATATATTAGTTTGCTTATGATTTTGTCCTGTTCTTTATCTTCTTTTTATTGTTGTTTATTGTTCATTTTGTTGATTATGCTTAACCATGCACAATTATTGCACAAAAATATTGATTGGGCTTGATGAGATACATAGTTTATTTTAAATTATAATCTAAAACTGGTATTGTCTTATTTATAATGTTACCATTTGACATTTGGGAAAAGGTGATAGAAAGTTTGTCACACAAAAGACAAAAAAATGTAATAGAGAATTTTTCCCTATTGGTTTCAATCCCCATAGGTAATGACTGCAAGACACTTTCCCCTCTGCAATTTATAGACACACTCACACAAATGCATGTTGTGATTTCTTCCTAGTCAATTAGGTAGAACATTTCTCTGTCTCATCTGTTTCATTCCCAATAGGTTTTATCTTGAAGTCAGAATGCTATGTTCATTTATCTGAATTCACTCTTGTCAACCCCAATTCTTTGTGAATATTTTGCTTTATTACTGTTGCTTTGCTTTATTACTGTTAATTTTCTTGCCATATATTGTTTGCTTGATCTTTTTCTTTTCTTGTTATTGTTTATTGCAAACTTTGCCAATTCTGTTTGTTGGGCAATTCTGCCATTTATTTACATTTAATGATGGCCAATCACTCTACACAATATATATTTCTCCTGTAATACAGAGTGCCCAAAGATCCAATGAACCTGGACTGCGGTCGCTTCGTACAAATCGTACACTTCAGGCTAGAATGGTATTAACCATTGAACCAGGAATCTATTTTAATGATGTGGTAAGACTAATATATTTTTACTTTCATATAAACATTTATTTCTATTATAAATATTCTCTTGATACTCATTAGGATTACAAATTTTTTAGACTAATTTAAAGAAAAACATAAATATAGTTTCAAAAAATAACTCAGTTAAGTGACAAAAAAATTTAGTTTTGTTTTTGTCAGATTTTTGTAGTAGTTCTTCTTATCCTTTTTATCTTTTTTTTATTCAGCTCCTTGAAGAAGCTATGGCTGATCCCCAGCGATCATGCTTCTTTGTTCCTGCAGTTATTGACCAATATCGTGACTTAGGTGGTGTAAGTAACAATATTTTTAAAAAGTCTTAGACACAAATACACCTTTGTTTTCATGTACTAAGAAATTCTTGGATAGATTTTATCAAATATATTTTAAAAATTTAATAATATAAAAGTGTGTAGTGTCAAAAAACTGGCTGCTTTGATTTTAATATCATTTTCTGCTGATTGTAATTATTGTCTTATTCAAATATCACACATAAGTATTCTCAAACATTACCATCTAGAGATCTTAAAATCTGCACAGAAATAGTCGGTATTACTCTCTTTCTATTGTTATTATTGCGTAAGTAAAAACTGTTTGAATCACGTGTCTATAACCTAATTGAGAATAGAAGATAGTGGATATTTAAAATTTTCGCCAATTAGTCTGAAGTTACATTATTTGCTAAAACACAAAACTAATTTTTGATCCACTTTTTATATACATAATCTGTCAATTTCCTTTCTCCACAATTTCCATATACTTGATGATGAAAAGTAAAATCTTACTATTTTGCATTAGAATGTACAGATTCTTTCTTGAAAATATAATTTCATCAGTTTGTTGTAATTTTAAAAGCAAATTTGACATTTTTGTTGGGTTTATTTTTCTACTTAATTATAGCCTTTGTATCAAATATCAATTAAAGACTCTTTTCTATTTTCCTATCTTAATAGGTGATTTGGCAGAACATTAAGGGCATATAACTTCCTAATCAAGTATCTACAAAAGAGAAAATAGATTACAAAGTAGCTCACTAGGAAAATGTCTTTAACATGCTTTAAAAGTAAAATTTTCTTTAATTCAGGTGAGAATAGAAGATGATATTATTGTAAAGGAGAATGGAGCTGAGCTGCTGACTGATGTACCTCGAACAGTTGAAGAAATTGAAACTTTTTTCACCAATAGGCCACAACCACAAATGTTTCTCCCAGATCAGATTTCAAGTGTGTTTGGTAATTAAGTAAATGGAAAAAGTGAAAATTTTCATAAATTTTAATTTGTGTGGCAGTTACAAGATTGTACTTTGTGGACTTTGTGGAGATGGTGCATTACTCATATTTTGGTATAAATTTCATAAATTACTTTGTAAATTAATGAATGAACTAGGCTTTGTAATTTCCTTACATTTTTATCTCATGTGAAATGAGCTAATATATTTTTTCTAAAAATGTTAAAATAAAAAGAATATTCCATCATGAAATTAAAATAAATTTTTCTTGAAAAAACCAATTCAATGTTAATAATGATTTTAACTGTAACTTACTACAATTTCACTATATGACCATCAACAAACAATTTAGGAATGCAGTTTTTCACTAAAATAACATTCCAGTTATATGCAACACTCAAAGTAAAACTGTAAAAATTAAAGAAACCTAAAGCCATACCTAAACTGCAATATGAAAACTACACAATGACTCCATCTTTGGCTGTGCATAAGCTTATTGCTTATGAACAGAGACAGTTAAGAACAATTATGACACTTTGGAACATGTCAGTGATTCAGAATGGAACATCTTGGGGGAAGCATTCTGATGAAAGAAAGATAAGAGAAAAAGACGTAGAGGACAAATGAAAATTCTCAAACTGATGAAGGTGAGGCAGAGAAAATTACAAGAAACAGTACAGAATATATATAGTTAAAAAACAGTAAAAGTTAAGCACAAGTCAGCAAAAGAATGGCCAGATGGGAAAATGTGCGCATTTGATGTGCACAGATGTAGTAGGCATGCACAATGGTCATAATGGAAAATTAAAACGTGTTGTGATGATAAAATGAGTAAATAGAACTCTTTCATGACAACAGAGGAGAGAAATCTGCACAAAAGCATAGAAGGATCTGTAATATTAAAATCTGAAGAAGAACAATGGCTGAGATGAATAAAGCAGCAGGACTAGATTAAATTGTCATGAACCTGTTGATGGCCTTAGATGACTTTAGCATTGAAGTAATAAATGATACATACAACAGTGATAAAATCCTGGAGGAACATAGGAAATGACTTTTCATAACATTGCCAAATAAAATGAGTGCAGATGAATTAGATTAGAAATAGAAGAAGACTGGCTTTGTAGAAGATGTCTCACCATCTTTGACAAGGCTAGTATAAATGTATAGTCAGAACAAGTAATAGAAATGTAGAAGGGCTTTCATCTTCATTACACAAAGGCATTTGTTAAAGTACAGCATCAAAATAAACCTTGAAATGGAAGGTATGTATAGAATGGATATATGAATAATCTGTGTTGGAAGCAAATAGTTTGCCTGCAAGTTAGAGAAGGAAGTGAGTGCAACAAGGATGTGCTTTCTCACTAACATGTACAGCGCAATAATGTTAAGAGATTTAAAGGATGACAGCAAAAAATAAAAGGATCAGCAAATATAACTTTAATAACATATGCTATGTAAAGCCAAAACCTGCACAAAATTCAATGGGGGTAGATGAGCTCTCCTTTTTAAGCAGCTTTTGTTGTAATCAAAATCTGTTTCAGTACAAAGCTGTAGGAAAACAAAACAAAAAAAATAATGTCCTAGTAGGTCCTCCCATGTAAGGTACATGTCTTGGTACCTGAATGCCCTGCTTAGTCATTCTGAATCAAGAAGTTTTGCTGCCCTTGTTTTTAGGTTAACAGATCAAGTTTCAGTTCACATGATTTGCTTGTATGCTTGTATTTTTTCCCAGTTTTTGTTTTTGATTATTTCTTCATATGAGGATAATGAATGTAAACATTTTTCTGGGATGACATTGTCTACCTGTCAGTAGATGTATCCAAATCTTAGAATAACTAAAGAGATTTCTCATCAACAGTTGTATAATATCAGGGGTTACTGCATTACCACTTAGTGTATGGTATATGGACAATGCAGTTGTTTCCAGCTATAGCTAAGGCTATATTTTCTGACAGCCAATGTGTGCATTATACATATTGTTTTTGTATTTCTGCTTTGATTCTTCAGCTTTCATTCCTACTAAACTTTGTCAATATCTAAAATGAATTGACAAATCAAACTCAGCAAAGCAAAACTAGATACCTATTTTTCCATTTCTTACACTAATATAGGGGGTCTACATTCACATTTTCAAGAAATAGAACTAAATTGAATTTATACTAGTGCAAAAATATGCAATAGTTGACTTCTTCTATTTTCTGTCTCCCTTCAGGACATGGGAAATCATGGATCTCCACAATATTCTGTCCTTTGTGGCTCTTAGTAAAGTTTATCATTTTGCTATCTCTCCTCATCCCTGTCTTGCCAACCAATTACACAAACTTATTAGGTAGGTGTCTCTTGCCTTCAGTATGTCTTGTGAATGTCAAATTCTCCAAACTTTCTTTTCTCATTATGTCTCTATAAATTTCAATTGCCTCTTTGTGGTAAGGTTTAAGTGTACTTTTTGTTTCTATTTTCTTTAAAACATTTTTGTCAATCACAAATTCAATCCATGGTATTCTCAGCATCCTTCTGTAAAATCACAATTCAGTTGCCTCAAATTTCTTCATCTGTGAGGAGATTGTCAAGCATTCACTGCCATATAGGAGGACAGATATTAGATCAGTACTCTTTTCTAGTTTTTAACAAAATTCTCGTGTTTCCTAATATTTTGTCATATTTTTCATTCTCTGTTAAAACACTTCAGAGATATTTAAATTTTTGTACTTGCTTGATTTTGGTGTTTTTGTTTTAGTCACTTTTAGTTTGCATTTTAGGCTGTTCATTTTGCTGACAACCATACATTGTCTTCAAACACTGAATGTGTGCTACCCAAAAAGGTAGAAACTATTGTTTTTGAGAGAAAAATGCTAGTTTTCAGCACTTTTCATTTACTTTTTGAGCTTGCAAACACCAATTTTTACTAAGAAACATTGAATATGTGCTTTTTTATATTGGAATCACCCCACTAAAACAAAGGATTACAGGGTGTGAAAGAATTAGGAACAGAAACAATAATTATGAGCAGTAAGAGAAGAGAGTAATCAGGAAGACAGTAGATAGTGATTACATTGCATTTAAATTTATGCAGATTACAGGCAGCTGGAAACCATGGGGCCAGAAGTGAGTTCTATGCACAAGAAGTGTGAGAGAAGAAATCTTAATGCCAGTCTATTGTGCTTAAATTTAAAAATTCTTAGGTACCATAGTACAGAGTGATATTCGTATGATAATACAAAATGTGGCACAAGGCTAAAATGGGGAATGGGGAAAAGTAGAGTCTTAAATTTAAACTTAGCTAGCCATAATCACTGGCCCAAACATGCCACAATATTCCTAACACCAAAACAACTCATCCTTACTTACTGTTCTTACTGCATCCACCACAATGTCTCCATGAAAATTCTAACTAGTCCCCCATATGTACAATTTCATGTCTTGAATAAAACAACAATTTAAAAAATCTAAACCTCAATGTGTATTTACAATATGAAAAATCTATTTACAAGAAACCAAACAAAATAATATTATTAATAAAACCCCACCCACAATCCTTAAATGTGGCAGAAACATCAGTTAACTCAATGCAGGAATTTAATAATATAAAACAATCATTCATCCCAAGCACTCATTAAAACAACAACAAATATGAAAATCACACTCGAAACGAAAGATGTCCTGCATCCACCAGTGAACTGACATCACTAACCACCTAAAAGGAGATGGGGTGGGGAAATAAATTAAAGAAAATGGGGACAGAAATAAAAGGGGCCAATGAGCATTACATCACCTAGCTAAGTTAACTCGAAGGAAGAAACCAAGGACTAAAAACAACCCTAAACTAACCTAATTTCGAACAGGGTTGGCAATATCCTAATGCTTAACCAGTATCAAAGTGCCACTCTAAGTCAGCCCCTCTTATTCGGCACAAATGCGCAAGATTCATCCACCTATTGACAAATTCTGATGGGGGAAGTCGTCACCTTTCTGTTGTAATCTTGACTTTAAGCTGTCGCTTAAAGTACAAGATCAGTTGGGAAGAAGTGAACTTCTTGCATCCATAGAATCCCTTCTGACATGTTGTCCAAATTATGACTCTAGCAAGCAAAAGAACACATTGTTCAACCTTTGTCAATGGCAGTATCACATTGCTACAGACAGAACTGGCCTTGAGACAACATCTGGACATAAGAGGTGTTTCAGTGAAATACGACTATCAGGATAGAAGGATCACTCGTCTCAGGGTTAACTGAATCCTCATCAGCACATGAGTGCACACTTCTCATGAATGGGAAGTTCTTACGGGCGTCTTCCTTCAAGAAGGTGCCCCTCATCCGAATCATGACACATTCAATCTAAGAACATGATGTGAAGCGTATGTTAACAAATCTCAACGCTAGGCATATCCAGACCACCTTCAGAAGGGTAGGGGTAACAGGGTTAGTGGAGGAATATGCCGACGAAGGAACGGCAATTGAGGTCATGAGAGGCCTCATGAAATTGGTATAAATAAGAGGTGAAACCCCCAGTGAATTGGGTTAGAGCTGAGAAAATGGCCACTCTAGTCTTTCCAGGGGAGATGAGAGACAATCCAGCCATACAAACTAAGTTGGCTGATCTGTATGTAGAGGCACTCCAGAATGAGCGCGCATGACATGATGTGATCAAGGAAGCACTGGTCAAGTCGGTGGCTATGGCACTAGCCAAGGACTGCCAAAGAATTTCGGAGAAAGTAAAAGGCAAGAAGGAGGAAGAGAAGGTGTAAGGTCGGGAGGTAGACAGAGAAGAGGGAGAAGAACCCCTTGACGTGGGATAAAAAGGTAAAGCAGGAGTAGGTCGAAATGGAGGAATGGGAAGATGTTACCAAGAGAAGTGTGTGGATGCTGGGGCATGGGTTTTAAGACTGCACTGAGCCGGTTAGGACTGATATGTTGGAACTGTCATTATGAGAGCCATAGGACAGTAGATTGTCCCTATCTTTGTCGCCATATTTATTACAAAGTTTCGGCCGTTGTACGCTCCAGCCT